CCACGGGCTGCCTTCCTCGGGGGCCGCCCCCCTCCTCCCTCCAGGTGGTTCCCGCATCCTACTCGGGCATCCTGCCCCTGGAGGCACCAAAGAGCTGGACCGGCAAGTCACCGGGCAGGGGTCAATCCTCCGTGCCCACTACCACCAAGTGGCAGGACAAACCTATGCAACCCATGGGATGTCAAGGGCAGCTAAGACATACCAGCCAAGGTATGGGCATACCCGTGTTGCCTTACCACGAACCGTCCGAGCCCGTCGGCCCCAGCGGCACAAGCACATTCAGCCTGGACACCAGGTGGTACGAGCCCCAACCCCGACCTCGGCCCAGCCCTCGGCAGGTCAGGAGGGCTGAGCCCAGTTTACATCAGGTGGTGCTACAACCTTCAAGGCTTTCTCCTCTGACCCAAAGTCCCCTGAGCTCCCGCAACAGCTCCCCGGAGCTGACTGCCCGCGCCCGGCCCCGCCCGGGGATCATCCAGCAGGCAGAGGTGTCGGAGATCACGCTGCAGCCGCCCGCGGCCGTCAGCTTCTCCCGCAAATCCACACCGTCCTCCACGGGATCTCCGGCGCCGAGCAGCCGCGGGGACAGCCCCAGCTTCCGACCGACCACCGCCTTCACCCCCGTGGGCACCGGCTTCTCCAACTCCCAGGGCTCCTCCCTGCCCGTGGACACCATGGATGTTTTCGGAGACATCCCTTCTCCAAGGAGGGCTGGCGAGGAGATTCTCCAACCAGAGCCGACATCCACCACCACGGTAGCCGCCACAGGGTAAGTGCGTGAGCCCCCTGGTGATCCCCCTGGCCCCTTCCTGGCTTCCCCCACCCTGCCTTACCCACTCCCTCTGACTCCCTCCCTGCCATCACCATCCCAACTGGTAGGGTCTCTCTGGGCACGCTGCAGCATCCCTTTTGGAGACGGCGTCCCGCGGGCTTTGCTAGGCAGAGGCTGGTGCCACGGGCACGGGTTGCATGGCCGCTGCCCGAGAGCGCTGGGTCTTAGGCAGGCGACCTTCCCGGTCCCTTGGGAATCTGGGAGCGCCGTGACTCGGGCTACGGGCCGTCTACCAGGTGTTCAAAGACCTGGCTCGTTTAGGTAAGTGTCCTGGTGTCACTGGAGGTTGTTTCCTCTTCTAGCTGCTGGCTCTTGGCTTTCTTCGAACGTTAGGGCCGCCGCCGCCGCGCCTCTGTCTTCCTCCTCTTCCTTCCCGCGGAGTCTAGAGAGCTTTAATGCATGACAGAAACAGCTATCACGGTCACCGCCCCACCTGCAAAAGGGATGCTGCAGCCCCAGGACGCGGGCAGGGAGAGATCAAGGACTTAGCCACACCAGCAGCATGTCAGGAGAGGAGGAAAAATAAAAATAAACTAAGCCCAGCGGAGATCGGGAGGCTGCCGGCACGCTCAGATCCTGTCCTAAAGAGGGATGTGGCTGCACTAGACAGTAGCGGCTGGTTTTCCAGGTACCAGGGTTGCTCCAGGCAAAAGCGTCTCTCTCTCTCTCTCTCTCTTTCTCTTTCTCTCTATTTCTCCTCTTTCCTTCCGTCTTTCACAGCACCTTAGACCCCGTAGCCGTGCTTTCGTCCCATCTTTCGTCTCGCTTCATTCTGGCTTCTTGTCTGGTGGGGTCGAGCCCCCTCCTCCGGCTTGTGGCAGAGAGGAGTCGGGGGGCTGCCAGCCCCGCGGAGCCGGCGCGGTCGGAGGTGTTCGGAGAAGAGGCTGTGTTTTGGGGAGGGGGGAGGCAGCGTTTCACCCCGCAGTGCCCTCCGCATTTCACTCCCGCCCTCTGGTACCTGGAAGCGTTATGGCCTTAGCAAATCCCTCCGGCACTGAACGGAAGGAAGGAGGGCTCAGGGGAGAGAGGATGGGGAGGGAGAGCAGCTGGACGAGCCTGAAACGACTTCTGTGTGCCTCTGGAAAACCCAGCTATGGAGCGATGCAGTCAGGGATGTAGTCGCAGGTCCATGTCTCTAGCAGGGCATTCCAAGGAGAGCCAGCTCCAGGACAGAGCCGTGTTAGAGCAGCACTGTTGTCCGTGCTTTTATGCAGTGTATCCATTCGCTTTGTTGATTATCGTTTTTGTTTCTTTTTTTCCTTTCTCTTCTGTTTCTTTCCCCCTTTCTTCTCCAGCCTCGTTTCGTTAGTGTTTCAGTTTGGTTTCTTTCCCTCCTTTTTCCTTTGGAGTTGTTGACGTGCTGATGTGTTGCGGAGCTCGGCTCCTTGCGGGTGTTGATAACTGCTTTGTTTTTGATTAATCTCAGCTATCTGGGCAGTGTTGTCGAGACAAGCTTCTCCTCAGCTCAATAGGTAAGGGTGATCCATGTCCGAAAGGATGGTGTGGGTGCTGTGGAGGGTGGCTGGGAGTGGGGCATGACAGGGGACACGGAAGGGGCTTTTCCAATACCATCTCTTCCTTTAAAGGGGAATAAGGAATGCGAAAACAGTAGGAAACACCTCTGGACGCACAGTCTCTGTGGCTTTTGGGTTTCCCCTCCCAGCAGCACACGCTACTCCCCTGCCTTTGGGGCTGGGGTTTGGGATGAGCTGAGCTGCTGTCTCCCTGGGCCACCCTTCCTTTCTTGGGGGATGGTGATACACGTGCCACTTTTGGCCCTGGCAGGGTGCACGAGGGCTGTGTGGTGTTAGGGAGGTTGTGTTGAGGTGGGGTTGTCCCAGATGATCCAAACCAGGAGGAGCCCACAGCCACCCCCTGCAGGCAGGAAAAACAGCCACCTCTGGAGCTGCCAGCTGCAGACAGTGTGCTCAGAGTGGGCTCCAAAAATCAGTCTCCAGCTGTAGTCCAGCACATGGAGAATTTTGTTTCCAGCAGTATCTGGATCTGTTTTCTTTTTCCCAAGTCTCCTCAATCACAGAAAATGGGAGAAGTCTTTCTCCCAGGATGGATTGGATGCTTGGCAGCAGCAGAACTATGGTCTCAGGCTGCCAGAAAGGTGTTTTTTCCTTCCCATCACAAGTGTAGACACGGGAAAATCCCTCCATCCCTGAAATTTTCCATGGAGAAATGTTTTACTTCTTCTGACACAGCTGTAATTAAACAGCCCTACGCAGATCTTGCAAGACTCTTCCAATAAAATTCCTCCTGGGCTGCTTTCATGGGCTGGTTTCCTAGATAGCCATGGGCATTTCTGGAACTAGGATGGATTAATCTGGAGATGGTTTTCAGACCTTAGAAACAGAAGAACATCACTAACACTGCCAAATCCAGATGGGATAATAGCAATTTGTGACCCAGAGGACTGGCAGCACTGACCTGTTGGGCCATCAGCCAGGCTGGTTATGAAAGCAGAGATGGGATCATAGATGGGCCTGCTTCTAAGGGCCTGCCCATGGCCAAACTTCCTTAGGACAGGTCTTACAAAAAAGGTTAAGCTTTGCTGCCTTGGTTGGGAAGAGCCCAGGTCCTGGCTGATTCTCTCCAACAGCATGAGGAGCTGTGCTGGGATGGGAAAGAGCCTCATGAGAGAAAGGTGGGATGCCTAGAGAAGTCAGGGAGGTGTTTCCAGGAGAGAGGAATCCCTCCAGCTGACCTGGAGGGCTGTCCTGGGGTGGGGAGAGCAGGATTGGCGAGGAGGGGGTGTTGGATGTGTGTGCTTCATGGAGGAGCCATCCTCTTGGCATGACAAAACCCATCCTGTTTGAGCCTCCAAATCTCTTGAGCACTTGGCTGCCTTTTCCTTCTGGTTTTCCTTGCTAATCCCAAAGCAGGGCATCCCCTGAGCTGGCACCAAGCCTTGGTGAGATCTTGGCTGTGCCAGGCTTTTTGGGGAATGGGGAAGCCCTCAGAGAGGATGTGGCTGTTTGTTCTTGCTCTGTGGCACTTTCCTGCTTTGGCAGCTTTAGGGACATGAGCAGAGGTGAGTCCAGGCTCGTGTCTGAGTTTGGTGTGGCTCTTGCCCAGATCCTGGCTGGCTCCAGTGCTGGCTGCCATGGGCTGATGGATTTTGAGGAGCAGGGTCACACTGCCCAGCAGGATGGGGACAGCTGTGTGTCCTACTCCAGGATGCTGCTGGGAGCTGCAGTCACAGGAACGACTCCAGAGCCATTATCCCCAAAAAGGGGAAACCAGAAGAGTAAATCTCACTTCAATAAGTGAAGAATCCCATAGAGAGCCCAGCCAAGTAATTTCTTGATGATTTGGGGTCATAAAATTGTCAGTGTGTGCGGAGCACAGGGGTTTTATACCAGAGCAGCCAGATTTGTCTATTGCAGCATTAAAAGCTGAGAGGAGAAGGAGAAGGGAGCACGTGAGTGCTTCGCTAGGTGAAGCTCAGGTGGTTTTTATGGATGGGCAGGGATAAATGATGCCGTTACTGAGCCAGCACGAGGAGTTCTCCCATCTTCTTCTCTTAGGATGCAGCGCGCATCTCGGAACAGGGAAAAGGGGGCTGTCATCTCCCTGCTGAGGGAAACCCAAAAACCACAGACGAGGCACCAAGCTCCCCTGCCCCTCGGCACGGCAGCCTGTCCTGGGTGGCCTCCCCAGGTCCCCCTTGCCAGGGCAGCACTGCCAGTGCTGGGAGCTGGGGGGCTTGGCCGTGGCGTAGCGTTGAGTGACGAAGGGACGTCGGCGCCAGGCGTGCAGGAGGAGCAGCAGCCCTTGCTCCCTGCTTGAAAGAAAACAGGTTCCCCTTTAAAGACTGTCCATGTGCTGATCCTCTGCATGTGTTCCATGCCTCCTTCCGCTTGGAGAAGTTGTGAGTCTGCTTGTCTGAGTGCGTTTTTCTTTTCTTTCTTAATTATTATTATTATTATTATTATTATTATTATTTTATTTTTATTTTCAGTCTCTTTAATTTCCTTATATATTTTCTCACTCCTGTTTTTCATTTATCTTCCTCTCTCCCTTCCCCTTCCCCATGACTGTATCCCCCTCTTCCTGTCCAGCCCGGCCCCGTTTCCCTCGCCTTCTCTCCTCTCCGTCAGCATGGTGGTGAAGTCCGTTGTGTAGATGAGTTGTGGTGTCTGCAGACCTGTAGAAGGGCACCCCTTCTCTGGTGTGCTCCCTGCTGGGACCAGCCCCTTCCTCCCTCCCTCCTGGCGGTGCCTTGGCAGCAGCAGCAGCCCTGGCCTGGGGCTGTCACCGCCGTGTTTCTCTGGCACCTCTTGTGCTGAAGGATCCCAAGCGCTCCGGGATGGAGGCAGCAGCCAGCTGAGTGGGAGCAGAGTGGGAGTTCTGACTTGCAGGAGCCTCGTGTAGGAAAATTGAGCTCTCCATGTGAGGAGGATGAAGGGTTGAAGGACACAGTGGGCTCCTTTCAAGTGGATACTCTGTCCAAGTGGATGCTCTAACATGCCCAAACTATCCCTGGATGTCAATGTCTTGGCTCAAGGAGAGCAGGAGACAGGGAGGGTGTGTTGAGACCTCCATGAGGTTAAATATATATATAAATATGTGTATAGTATCCTTGAATCTCCTGGACCCTTCCTTTATATGGGTTCCCCTTCTGAGTGGAAAGAGGTCAGCGATGATTTCAGGGGTCTTCTCCGTTTTATCTTTGCTTTGTACATGGAAGAACATTTGAAGAAGAGCAGCTGAGATATGTGTTGGGCTGGATACTTCTCCTCTACTTCCCTTTCCTGTCCTGGGACTCTTGAAGGTCCTTCAGTACCTTTGTGGCCTCTCCAGTACCTCCCAGTCCATTCAGTCCACACACTTGCTCATGCAGAAGGGTTTTCCTTTGAAGACTCGAGGAAAACTGGTTCTCCAGGTGTTGGTGGTACCTTGCAGAAGGTTGGGGCCAGGAGTTCACGTGGGCTTCTCAAAGCTCCTTTGCTTGGCTCTACGCTGAAATTTCCAGAAGAAGTTTGCCTGCCTCCTGAACATCTCATCTGTTGGTATTCAAGATCTCCCTTGTGCGTGGGCAGCTGCCCAACATGTGAACTCCGGGGGCAGGAAGAGCCTTTTGGCTGAGCTTAAAATGAAAATTAATTTGGAAGAATCAGCGCCCTTTGAAGAGATAAAGGGTGGGTAGAGCAGATAAAATTTGGCTGCTGAGTAGCATCGTTTTGTCCTCTGTATCTCTTCCTTGCCAGAGGTCAGACAGTATTTATGGTGACACATGGGTTCAGTGCACTCACTGTTTATGTTTGTGTGTATAAATACGAGTTCAATTACGGAGAACTAGTGGAAATGAGCTTCAGGCAATTTCCTCATAATCCCTCATGTAAATCTGTCTAATTTTGTCAGCATGCCACAACAGCTTCTTCTTAGAAAGAAAAAAAAAGAGTGGAAAGAGCAGGAGACTTTTACAGGCTGAGCTTTAATAATAGTGGCAAAGCTGTCTGGGTGGTGGGAAGAGGTGGTAGGAGGCAGGTGCTGGGGGGCAGGATGGTGGCAGGATCACCAGGCTCGGTGGTGTCCAGGGCTTGGCACACGTGAGCTCCGTGGGCGATGGAGCTGGAGCAGCTGAAGTCACCACTCGCCAACTACCTGCAGGAATGTGACTCGTGTGCTCCCCACAGCGTGGTGGCTACCAAGTGGGAAGAGCCACTGGCCATTCGGGCAGGAATCGCTGCAGGGAATGCCACGCTGTGTGTGACCTGTGGGTCACTGTGGTTCTGCCTTCAGCCAGCATTGAGTGGCTGGCTGTGGTGGTTCAGCTCAGAGGGTAGATGCTGCTGTCTCACAAGATACTCGTTGGACTCAGGAAGGTGTTGGAGATCTGCAAATGTAAACGTTGTCTTCCTGACGAGGAAAAGCTTGGATCCAGCCAGCAGGACTCCCGGCATGTCTAATGAGCTGCTTCATCTTCGGCTGATGTGATGCTCTGCTGGGAGCTGGAACAGAGGCTCTCTGGGAGCTGGAACAGAGGCTCTCTGGGAGCTGGAACAGAGGCTTTCCAGGAGCTCTCTGCACCTTGACGTCTCTGTTGCATTGGAAAACATGAAAAGGAGCTTTTCTGTGCCCAGTGTTTGGGTTTCTTTTGCGTCTGCTGCGCCTCAGCTGCTTCTTCACCTCACTCTGCACTTCCCTGGGTGCTCTCCACTGCTGCCAGCAGAACTGAGAAGCTTCTCAATCACACTCATCTTCAAAAAAAACCAAAAACCCTTCTGCTCCCCAAGGGGAAAAATCTCCTGGGAGCTCCTTGCCTGTGTGCTCCAGCTGAAATTTCAACGCTCTGGAGACTCTTGCGATGTCGGATGGGAAGCGCTGCTGTTGCACTGTGCTCTGCAGTGGTGGCACCGTGGGGACCCGTGGGGGAAAACCTGCAGGGTGTCTTCAGTGCCAGCCAGGCTCTGCCTGGACCCCAGGGGAGATGAGGAGCTCCAAAGTCTCCGTGGGTGGGTGTACTCTGGTTCCACAGCCCGGGAGTGCGGGCTCTGTGCTCCAGCCCATGTCCTCGCCCCTTCTCTGCTGCTCCCGCCAGCAGCCACAGTGTTTTTGCAATCCTGGATGGGGCACACCTTGCTGCCAGACAGGGGGACATCATCCTCAATGGTTCTGTGCCCAAGCAGGTGTCTGAAGGCACTGATGTTGCCTCTTGCAGCCAGCTGAGCCTGCTGCCCTCCTGCTGCCCGTGGCTTGTGGGGTTGGCTGATCCCTGCCCCGGCCACAGATGGATGCGGGAGCTGCCATCAGCACTGTCCTCTGTGTGCCTCTGTGACAAGGTTTGGTTGCTGACCTCTGGTGACCAAGTTGTGGGAGCAGAAGAGAGTCATCTCCTCCTCTGAAGGGTGCTGGCAAGCTGGTTTGAATTTCCTCTCCTTATTGGAGCCTGGCTTAAAGTGTTGGCTTTATCACAGTGAAAGGTGCTTTGTGGAGGCTTCCCTGTCTTCTCTGCACACCTTGTCTGCAAGTGGCTTGGATTTATCCCAGATGGCCTCAGACTTCTGTGGCATTAGGAGCTGGTGACTCTTGGAGGGTCGTGGAAGTAAAATAGAGAGGGGGAAGGAGATGGGAAAGCAGCAAGAAGGGGGGATGCTGTGATGTGTTATCGAAAAGAGCTGGACTGCCCGCTCTCCTAAGGAAAAGGTTTTCCTCTAATGCTCTGCTCTCTACAGCAGTCATGCTTTCCAGGCCTTGGATGGGAAAAACAGGTACAGTGAAGGAAATAAGACAAAAAATCTCTTTGCAAAGGGGAGGATACTGCACCTTGAGCTGGTTCCTGTAGAAGAGTTCCTCAGGGGTTACAGCTGATAACCTATCCCTTGCACCTGCTGGCTCTCCTGCAGGAAGCACCCCTTTGCAAACGCCCTCCTTGTCCTCGCAATAAAACCTCGTCAGTGTTTCCATTTCCAGCTCCCAGCCTCTCGCTGTTCCAGGAGCAGGTGCTCCTGTGCTGTCGCATTTCTGTTGTCGCTTCTCACAGGGACCTGGGAACGAGGTACCTCTCCCAGCTCTGTCGGTGTGTGCCCTTGGTGTCCCTGTCTGTCGTGTGGCCCCTGGTTTTCCTGGCTGTGGGAGCAGGGCCAGCAGGATCCTGCCTCCCTGCTGTTTGTGGCGCCGGTGTTGTCAGCCCTGGGTGGCTCGTGGTGCCCGTCTCGATGCTGCCGTGCTGCTTCTGCCTATCTCTTTCTCTTCTCTCTCCATCCCAAGGGGTTTTCTACCACTTCCCAGAAATGCCTTATCGGACATAGGATCTGCCCCGTCCTGTTTTGTTTAGCAGTGTTGGCATGGCAGGCAGGTGAGCTGGGGGTGCCCACGTTGGACGTGGCCGGTGGCACCAGCCGGGTCGCGGTGCCGCTCGAAAACCTGGAGGAGACGTAGGGGGACGCCTCACTTCCTCCATCCCGCGCTCTGGCACGCCTGGCTGGCCCTGCTCCCTCGGCCCCGGGTTCCTCACCTCTTCCTTTTCCACGGCAGAGCCGGCTGGGATCGGCCGATCCCCCACCGGGGACGTCCAGAGGCCTGAGCGTGGCTGGGAGCCGCTGATGGCGCGTGTCTGCTTTTCCTTCCTAGAAAACGTCCATCTCCGCCCGGGGACGCTGCTGCACCTGAGAGGCTCGAAGCTCTGAAATACCAGCGGATAAAGAAGCCCAAAAAGTCATCCAAGGGCTCTTCGAAATCCAGAAAACAACCCAGTGAGTGCGAGGACCCTGCAGTCCCCAACGGCATTCCCTGTGTCTTGCTGTGAGCAGAGCTTGGGCAGATCCCTGCTCCAGCGCTGGGGGTCTCCAAGCCCATTCCTGGATGCTGCCCTTGTGCCCTGCCTCCCAAAGGGATGTCTCCCTGGGCTGCTTGCCTGTAGGTTGTCCCTCCTTTAATCCTCCAGACCGAGTCCTTTCCATGCATCTCCCATATTTAGTAATTTGTTTGGATTTTGAGTGTTAATTTCATTTTCCCTGGTGCCCAGCGTTCTCCCTTCTTGCCACGCTGCGGGTTCAGGGCCAGGCTTGCTGTCACCTCCCTTTTTCAGCAAGCAAAGCGTTCTGCTCTGCCTGCTGCTGGCTCCGGTCCCATCTGCCTTCTCTCCCCCCTTCCCAGACGGCTCTGCCTCCCAGGTTCAGCACCCTCCCAGCTCTCAGGTACTGTCGCCTGACGAAGCTGTCTGCCTCCGCAAGAAGAAGAGACACCCTCGTCAGGACCCCTTCGCCCGGCTCTCAGCGCTGAAGGACGACCTCTGCCACCGGCAGCTCCCTGAAGACCAGACAGCCATTCTCAACAGCGTAGACCACGATGACACCAGCGGACACGCCACCCTGCTCTAGCCTAGCGCCGGTCCCAGGAGGTGGAATAGGAGCTGGTGGAGGGAGCTGGTGTCACACCACGGGGGGATGGAGGTGGTGGGAAAGAGGGGGGGACCCCCCTACACTGTCACCTCTCTGAGGGGTTCAGCAGGGACAAGCTGGGGGATGCTTTGGGGAGGATGCTTTGGGCTGGGTGTTCCTCAAATCCACTTCTCTCCCACCCCAAACTGTTTGTGTGGGGTGGGAAGGGGGGGTGTTGCACCTCGGTTTTGGAAAAGATCTCTAGGCTTCAAAGGCATGGGTGGAGCTTTTGACATCTGCGTCCGCAGCACGTGTTTAGGGGGAGAGTGTGGGATTGAGCAGCTGGCCCTCAATCGCCGGAAGAAATTGAATGACACAGGGTGTAATTAAGTGACAAGAACCTAACAACCCAGGCGGGAACTGGTAATCCCATGAATCTGATTATGATAAAAACATGACCAAATAATCCCAGGAAAGCTGTAATTGTGAAAATCTCCCTGCCTCCCCCTTCCCAGCCTCCTTTGACGTGAAGGTAACAGCAGCAAAACCATCCGTGACATCTTTCCTTACCTATCTCTGAAAGGGGAAAGCCAGAAAGACCCTGAGCTTTGGAATCAATGTGAGATGTGAGAAATCACCATTTGTCTGTGTGCAAACGCACTCAAAGCCTCGGTAACGCGCGCTCGGCGCCGTGCGAGCGCGCGGGTACGGGGCTGACGTGATCTGAGGGTGTTTCCCCCTCCAGGTGTGGCGTGTGCCAGCTTTGATGAGGGTGGGTTTGATTAATTCTGTGTATCTCAGGCGAATGTCCCTCAGTGCCGCGTGGTGATGTCATTTCTTACCGTGTGATGTTTGATCTCTGCCGGTGACCGCGGAGCGGGGAGACGCAGGCGTGTGAGCGATCGGGGTTTGGCTGCGTGGTCCCCAAAGCCTCCGTCGGCAGGTGCTGAGCCCCGGGGAGAGCATCTGGAAGTGCCCAGCTCTGCGGATGGACGTGGATGGCTCCGTGCAAAGCTAAGCCTAGCGTTTTGCGCCAGCTTAAAATGTGTTGCCGCTGGTTTCACCGTTTTTCCCTTTTTCCTCCTGCTCCAGCCCGGATGTGTCGGCTGTGACACCCGCCGGGGTTGTTTCCCTCCCTTTGCCCCTTGTTCCCCTCGGTAATGCTGTTCTAACTCTTCACCAGAATGTATTTCCTTTTCAGAATAGGGTAGGTTTGGTGGCTGGTGGTTTTCTGGATTGCATAGGCCTTTTTTTCCGGTTTGTTTTTAGCAGGCAAGGTGTAACCCGAGGACAGCTGGGCTCACTTTCCTGCTCTGCCTCCACTCTCTGACTGCGTGGCCTTGGGCAAGTCACTTGACCTCTCTGTGCCTCAGTTCTCCCATCTGTAAAATGGGGATAAGTCATATTTAAGCACTTTGGACAAGCACTTGGTGGCCTACAGACTGCAAGTGCTATGTAAATGCTTAGTGCTAATACCAAGCAATCCCTACCTTTAAAATATTTAGAGTTGGTTCTTTTTCTTTTTCTTTTTTTTTTTAGATTGGAGTGGTAAATCAACCACTGCATCCAGGTTTGCACAGTTCTTCCTCTGCGGTAAAGTGCTAAACCCTCCAGCCTGCCTGGGAATAAAACACAGAGTGTTTCATGTAGATATTCTTGCTTTGAGTGGATTCAGGCTGTAGGAAAAGTGTCAGGAGAGCTGGAGAGCCCGCAGGCATGTTTTTAGCCCCAGGCTCTCTATTTGCATATGAAACTTTTGTTTATTCCCAGGTAGAATTGCCAAGAGATTCTCTGCAATCTCGCCTTTAATTCTGCTTTGCCTTGGTTTTTTGCTCTTGCTGCTGGTTGAAGCTCCAAGGGCTGAGATGTTTGGAGAAAGACGAGAGCTCTGAGTTGTGATCTGGCTCTCCGACCACGCCACGCTTTTAGGTCAGAGCCTGTTGATTGCTCTGCCTCCACTTACCTGGTTTTAGAGGTTGTGCTTCCTCTCCCAGCAGGATGCTCGGGAACCTGTGACCACCAAAAGCAGAGCACCGTGTCTTTTCCAATCTCCATGCCCTAAGTAAGGTTTGAACCACTGGACAATGAATCCTCTAAATCGATAACCAGATATTTCTGAGCTTTAACAACTTTGTGTAGGTGGTCTCAAACCATCAGCAGGTTTATCTCGGGAAGGAGGGAGGGTCTGGCAGAAATGCCCCTCTCTTTCCAGCCTGCACCAGGGCTTTTTATTGACGTGACGAGTGACCTGATGTAAGAACCTCAACTCTCAGAGTGAGAACTCAACCTTGCTAACAGTATGACTGTGAATTTCTTTTCTTTGGGTGTGTTTTTAGGGGTTTTCCCTAGAACCTGCTCGGATCTGAATTGATTTAATGCCATTCTCCCGCTCGGCAGCGGGGAAAACTCTGCCTGGCTTGGCCAACTTCAGCTCACCAGTGACTCCAGCTGGGCTGCTCCTGACGGACAAGTGACCCTCGGGGCCAGGGGAGGCCTGGAGGCTCTGTGCTACCTGTGCCATGGCCAACTTGCTCTTCCTTTTGCTCTCATTGCCTCAGCCTCTCCAGCAGAGGGTTGCTTTTCCATTTGAGTGCTTTCCAAACGATTTACGACACCCGTTCGGATGGGCCAGGCACTGTCTTCAGGCTCTTGAGGTTGCTACCTCAGGACTGTGCCCCATCCCATCTTAAGGAGCTCTAGAGGACTTGGAGTGCAGGGCAGGTTGACGGAGCATGCCGGCTTGCTGGGTCAGTCTTTTGAGAGTTGTTTTCCTTTTGCAGGTGTTTTGAGCCACTGGGCTTTTCATGGTCTTCGACCTTTAGAGGCTGGAGCTACAGCCCTCTCTCTTTCAGCCATGTACCTGCCACGCTGCTGGAGTGGGAAATCCCGCCCGGGCGCCTCGTGGAAGCAACTCCTCCCTAAAACCATCCTTAACTCCTTTCCCTGCTAGACCGAGTTACCTTCTGATAGACTCGGGCCGTGCTTTGGCTGACTGGCTCGCCTCTTGCTTTGGCAACCTCCTCGCTTCTCCCAGCCCTTTGGTTCCCATGCCCTCCAGGGTTGCTCCTCTCTCCTTCTGTGGACCTGGAAACATCGAAGCCGTGTCAGACGATGCCAAACACTTCCCCCATTTCACCCCCGTTTGAACTCCGTGTCGCTTTGGTGGTTTGCAAACACAGCTGCTGTTGCTGCTGCTGCTGCTTCTTCATTTTTTTTATTTTTTTTATTTTTTTTTTTCCTTTCATGCTGCAAAATATATCATGATTTTTATCTTCCTGGGCCAAACTCTCTTATTTTCTAAGCTGGTCTGAGGTAGATGGCTCTTTCTGTATCCGTAACCGTATGATTCCTCCTTGCACGTTGCGAACGCGATGTTCCAATAGGTCCCTTGGCAAATCCTGGCCCACGGTGAAAAAATGCCTCTGAATCACTGGGGTTTGTCCCTGGGCTCTGCTGAGGTGTCAGTGCAGGGGTGCCAGCCCGGTTTTGGGGGGTCCTTGCCGGTGCTTCTCCCTGCAAGGTGGCCACGGTGGGAATGCTCCAGCACTGGTTTCATGCCGCCGTGGGGTTGCAGGATTGGGGCACCCTGAGCTGGGGGAGGCAGCGTGGAGAGGTGGGTACAGGATGCCACCGAGATCCTGTGGAAAAGGGGTGGTCCTGGGGTGCTGTCCCCTGCAGCCTGTCCAACAATGAGTCCTGGAGCAGGCAGGGGAAAAGGGCAGGGGAAGTGCTTTGCCTGCTTTTCCAGCAGGACTTGCTGAGCTCTCATCCTCGTGTTTCTAAGGTGACTTTGCCGTGCAGCCCCAGCAGCGTTTTGGTTCTGCGGTGTTGACGTGAAGGAAAATGCAAGTTAGTGTAAAGGGGGAGAGGGAGCGTTCAGGGCTCGTTTGTGGGGCCCCATTTCTGTGCCTGCCACAACAGCACCCACAGGCACAGGGAGCGATGACTTTGTGGGGTGGGGGAGCTGGAAGGTCCCAGGGTCTCTTCCCAGTCTGAACCTCGGCGTGGTTTGCAGTCTGCCCCCTGAGCTGAGAGGTCTCCATGAGCCCCAGGGTGTCTGTGTGAGCAGGGGATGCTTTTCCTGGGAGGATTCTCATTCCTGCTGCCCTGTGACTTGGAGGCTGCTTTGGGCACTGGTGGGCTCCAGGCTGTTCATCTGGTGTTTGTCATCTTGTCAGCTGGCTCAGTGCCAGCCGTTTGGAAGAAGGCTGGAGGTGATGCTGTTTGGATATATAAATGTAAAGGGAATGTAAAGGGAATAACAACTTGCTGTACCTGCCTCTGGGAGTGTTGAGGACACTGGGTTTGGGCTCAGCAGCCCAGGCACGGTCCTGGCAGGGCTTAGTCATGTCTGGTGGCATCTGAACATGACACACATTCCAGATTCATTGCTGCTCCCACCTTGCTGTCTGTATTAGGACAAAATCCGCCTGGCATTTTGGTTTCTCTTCCTGCTTCAGGCAGTGACGTAGGTTTGGGAGTTCTTGGAGTTTTGGATTGGTTTCAGCTGTAGCTCTTGTCTGGAGGTATTTTTCCATAAGGCTGGACCTTCAGGGATTTCCATGTGTCCCACATGGGCTTGCTGCAGCCCCAGACTGAAGCCAGGGCGTTTTTGGAAGGAAATCTTCTCAAGGAACTGGAGTAAAACCCACTGTACATATGAGATATAAATAGATAGAGAAGCGTAGGACAAAGGTAGATAGGTTTGCAGAATTCAGTAGATTTGCATGTCGGGGTATGTGTGTCTCTAGGGGAGAGTTTAGAGCTGTGCTGGAGCGGGGGATCAGGATGGGCAAGGCGGGGAAGGGGCTGGGAGCAGCTGCTGCCTGAGGGGGATTTGGGGATGGAGAGGCACCAGCGTGACCTGCTCTGCGGCCCTGCTGCACACAACAGATTGCTCTGTTTCATTCTTTCATCCCCAGTTTTTAGCTTTGCTTTGTTCACTGTCTGTGGCTCACCCCTGGGCCGTGACAAGGAGGAGCAGGAGGGACAGGCCCTGTGCTCTGCATGTCCAGGGCACGTGGGGCACGACACGGGACACGACAAGGGAGGGGGATGTCACGTTGCCTCATCTCTGGTGCCACTGCTTAAAGAAAAAGCTGCACCATGCGAAAACCCTCCCTCTAGATGCTGCTCTCTGGTTACTCATGTGAAAGCATTTTGCTTTGTGTCTGTTCTTCCCAGAAAAGCGTGAGTCAGAAGGGATGAGAGAGGGATACAGCTAAATTTGTCCCCTGAGCTGAGGAATGCAGCACCGACTGTGCCAGCCGGCCACAGCAGTGCCTCCTGGGAGGGACAAGATGTTCCTGACAGTGTCTTTTTATTTTAAACCTCATTAGCAGGACTTTGAGGATCTGAGGCAGAGAGGGGATTTGGTCACAGTGATGCCAGAGCTGGTACTGACCCCAGGCATGGGGGCAGCCGGGTTCGGACTGGATTCCCACTGCTCTCCCTGTGCTGTCTGGGCACTGGGGAGCCCTTACAGAAAGCAGGATATTTGCTCCCATTTCCCCCTTTCAGCTTAATGTTATTTTTTTTTTTTTATTTCTGAGTATCTTGACTCCTCTCTGCCCATGTTTGTGGGAGGGAGAGGTGGGAAGTGCAGTTGTTCCTATTCGAGGTCTGTCAGGGAACGCCTGATCCAGGAACTGAGGGCTGGGAAGCAGCGACCAGATTTGGCAACACTGGTGCCAGCAAAAGAAGAAACTTAATATTTCACTTAATTCCTATCAGTTGGCACATCCCCAAGCAGGGAGGACCAGTGTGGTTGTGGGAAGGGACTGGAGATGGGTGCCTGTTCCCCAGCCTGGGTGACTGGGATCAGAGGGAGCCGTGTTTGCCCGTTTTCCCCATTTTTAGGTGTTTTGGCACAGCTGGCTGAGCTCTTCTCCTTGGCATTGCGTGGCAGCAGGAGGAGCATCCCCAATCCTGGGGCTCTGGCTGACTTTTGATACGTGCATGGATGGAGGAAGGACCTGGGGAGGGGGTGGGCAGAGAATGG